ACATTGAAAATCACTTCTTTACGCAAGGGAGTACTGCAAGTTAGCCCCCCAGTTGACTTGAAAAGCTAGGACTTGCTTAGGGATTTGCAAATGTAAGCTTTTTGTCGACGGGAAGTATCGCAACTCGAAAATCGGCAAAACAATACTTTATTCTGTCCAGAAACTCACAAACGTCTTGCGGATCAGAGGGAATGTTTGTTCCAATACGTCAAGAGCAGGCTATTATTGTTGTGAGCGCAAGAGATGAGCGTGCGCCTGGACGGCGTTGGATTGCGGTCACTCTTAGAAGAACAAACAACTGAGCGGCACCAGGGCGTCCGCAGGCACGTGCCTCGCACGTGGTGCATGCAGGCAACCTACGAGACAAGGTTCGGCCGATGACGTCATGCCGCGTGAACTGCCGCACGCTAACGTTATCGGAATCCATGGTGGTCAGTAAACATGTAAGACGAAAGCAGTGACGAGGTCATTCACCCAACCAAACAGAAGGTTGTAGATTGGTGGTAAATGGACCTGATTAAAAGTAGAATATTTACCGGCTGTATTATGCCACAGGGAGTCATTACGAACGGCATCAGATACCAGGGCTATGCTATGAGAGCAAAGGCCTTTGTTGACTATACAGCTGTACCGAAAATTGCATAAATTATTCGTATTTTTGCCCTCATTTCGGAATCTAATTTTGTTGGATCACCTCCTCCTTAGATGCCCGCAAAGTCGGTGCGGCTTTAAAGCAGCAGCAGCAGCAGCACCGAAGTTCTGAGCAGAAACGTCGGCGAAACTTATACAGCGGGAGTTCAATTACTCTTTTGTCTCCTTTCTGCGTGACAGACAGAATGGTAGTTGAAAGCGGTTATCAGTTTGTTCAATCTCCCCCGAGATCTTGAAGGTTAGACGGGTTCCTACAAGCGCTTCTTTCAGCGCAGTGGTTATACCCTATCTGAAATGCAGCACTGAAGAAACAGGTATGGATTGGTTGATCATTGCAAATGAAAAGTGATCTTTGGAAACATAAGTTGCGAAAACTATTCTTAACTAAGCTATGTAATCCATTTTACTTACTACTAACTTCATAGTCAAGTTACCAAATATATTGGGTTTCATGGATATTTGAGCCTGATTAATTCAGATGTTACCTCAAGCCAACACTTATTAATGGAGTTAGTGGACTCAATAATAACTGTACGCCATAGCTTGAGTTTATCACATCGACTAAGGCTAGCTCTCTGTGACGCAGTTGTGTCTGAAAATTTTTCCAGAACAATAAGATACAGTTCCCCCCGCTATACTATTGGTTCTGACCGTTTGTATATAATGTATATCACGTGCATCATCTCCCGAAGAGAAAGAAGAAGAGGGGGCAAGTTCGTGGACCGGAATATCTTTTGACTGACGTTTCAAAAACACACTCGTTTCCATCTTCAGAGTGCAGTGCTTACTCTTCCGTGGGCGGCAAAGCTATTTCACTCAAGACGTACGGAAGAGTAAGGTCGATACTCTGAAGATGGAAACGAGTGTTTTTGAAACGTCAGTCAAAATGTGTTTCGGTCCCTGAACTTGCTCACTCTTCTTCTTCTTCTTCAGGAGATGATACACGTGATATGATATCCGGAACTCGAATCTTCACGCATATAATATATATTTATTAGTCGCTGACCGGCCTATTAGCATTTGGCCTTCTGAGGAATTATAATTTCGTGACGCCAAAATTGACGAAATCATGAAAACCATTTTCTTTTCTAGTTAAACACATACTGAGTCATTGAGAAAGGAAAAAAAGCAGTTCGTGTTGGAAACCATACGCGAAGCGGAGGCCATTTATTAATAATCGCTGCTGATAATACGTATGTAAGCATATTTAAGCTGAAATAAAGGAGCATTTTCAAACTTAGTTGTCGTTTTGCTGTTTTATTTGCCTAGTCTTGCATGAGCTGGCTTTGTATAAATCTACAACTTCAGTTTACCCGCTTATAGCAATTTTTATTCCTTTCAGAGTTGGCCGCTTTTTTAACAAAATTGGTATTTCTACAAAACGTAAAATAACTGGTAATATTTCTTTTTTAAAGTTGTTAAGTAACATTCCAAAGCTGTAATACATGATCTGTTATAGGTTAAGGAATGATTATGAGTCATCCGTAAATATCAGCACTAAGTATGATTAAGGTTATGCATTATATTAAAACTTGATTTCTTTAACCTGAAGCAAAGGCTGAGTGCATCGCCGATCGGTGTACCTGATGGATTCTTTCTTTCTTTCTGGAAGGCATACAATTAAGATTAACTGCGAAAAGCATTAGGAGGCTGTCCAGAACATAAAAGCTGGTAAATAAAATATGAGGTTAACAACTACTTTGTGTCTCTGCACTACTACTCAATCCGTTACAGCTTGCTTATCTTTCCACAGCTACTTAAATGATTTGGCACTACGGACAGAATATTCTCGCTTCAAGTGAACTATGTGCAAAAGTGCAGTATTTCACAAACTGGGCCTGCATTTACATGCAATATTCACAGTAATTGATCTTCCTGCGGAAGATTAACCGAAATCCTGAAAACTTTTTCGATCAGAAAGGATAACTAAGGTGAGGTTGTAATACTACTTGAAATACAACATAATCCAAGGTGTTTACTGGCAAAAGCCACACGGTAAAAATTACTAAATGTATATTACAAATATTTCACTTATATTTTAGTGCCCTCGTAAAGTTAAATATATTTTAGGAATACATTTCTAAATATTTTTATTCTTGTAGTCATGTGATAACAAGTGTCTTTTTATCTGGAAAAGGATGTGTTTGAAAACATAGCGGCTCGGCTGAGTTAAGGTGGAAAAAAATCGATTTTTAGTTCCATTCTCTCACAACCAGTTGACGCGAATAACCGTGTTGTTTCGAACGATACCTTTCAGGCTACCTTTCGAACATAAGCCAAGTTCCATAAGGGCCTACACCAACGCATGCTGGTAAAAGCCGAAACAGTGGCTATACGGCTAGTGAATCCAATGCTGTGCTGTCCAAAGACGCTAATACAGGCTCTCTCTTCCACTGGCAACGCCGACGCCAGGGGCGATCGTATGTCGTCCCCACCCTCCGGCGACAGTTGTTCACTCTGTGCACTTGACAATGATTTTTGCTTCGCGTACTTGACCCTTACCCACTACTAACAACCTTTCTTTTTGCCCCTTACCCAGGGCAATGATCGCTACATGCCGACTTCACCATAGGGGCAACGCGAGAAAGCTTATTCATAATTATGGGATATTTATAAACCCTGTCCAACCCTCCGATTTTCCTAATTAGTGCAATTGTACAGGCCCGATGATGAATTACCAAACAAGTTCTTCTCTACACTCCACTCAGTCCATAAATATTTGGAATTACGAGGTTCCTAAAATTGGGAAATTTATATTAGGACTGCATCGCATTTGACTGCATATTAATGCCAATTACGAATAATACAAAATTTTAAAATATATTTAGGTCCTGTATAACGCTTTCTCAATAGTTTGGTTTTGCTTCAAATGAAACTATATAACACACGGGTTGGAAACTCTAAGTGTAACTGCAAATGCCGTTCGAGTTCAAAATTATTGGGAGTTAAAACCTGTCCCTTAACCACAATGTAGTTTCGTTGTCTCAAAATTTAATAAAATAAACATTTTCGCCAAATAAGTAAAGGAACGAAATTGTGCATGCGGGTTTCCTTAAATATTAAATGCTAACTCCGTATTCATTTTCGCCAGATATAAAAAAATTGACAGCGGCTGAAAAGAAGCTCATTCAGAAGCAGGCATTCAGTCATGTCTGAAATATTTTGAGATTGTGCTCCGAGCTAATCAGTGTTACCACCTCACCCAAATAAACCCTCCTAATTGAAAACACATTTCAGAATTTTGATTAAGTAATCATGAAATAGGGCAGGTACTGTACTTCAGTGGCGGTAGCAACTCTAGAGTATCTCAAATTCGCTTTTGCAATATATTTTAGTAGTCATTCTCATCCTGATAGTTTCGGAAATGAAAACACAGAGATGGTTGATGGTTACATTTCCTGTGACAGTTTTAATGGGTTTTTGTTTACGCTTTCCACTACAGTATTTCTGCTAGTTAGACATAAATTTAGCTGTTTAATTTAACTAGGAAAATAAACAATATGAGTGACCTGTTTGAGAATTAAGAAAAGGTTACTATGCGAAGCACACATTGACAGCAGTAATTACTTTGATAAACTGGTTGGCTGGCAAACACAATATTTTCTAGATATACTATACATCATAGCATGATGGACTATGATGTCGTAGTTCACAGGAGTTGTTTTCATGCGTTATTTTGTTTTGTAATTAAGAGACGTTTTTGACTGTGCACTTTCTATACATGAATATTTGCATGCAGTATATGAGAGAATGGAGTCAACAATACCTATTACTGTTTTCTTTCCATGTAAATAAAATTTTGGGGGAAACAGTGCAAGATGTGATATTGTAAGTTCAAGATGAAGAGTGAACATAAACATAAACTGCATGTAGTTGCTACTGCTCAAATTCGCGCTCAGCTATCATAACAATACATTGTGTTGGCCAGATTTTAAGTGTACATACTTATTCCAGAAAGCCTGCCTCTACCATTTCAGTGATAGAAAAAATGCTGAATCCTCCCAAACTTGATAAGATTTGCACTTCAGTTGAAATGGGTTTTGAAAGACGTTTTTTTTCGGGTTGTATATACACTGCTTGTGTTAAGCGGCTTCTATTGCCAGTGATACTTCATTCTAGGGACTCTGAATTGACACGCAGTTTAAAAACGATGCGAGATTCAAAAATATAATTGTGTATTTATTGACAGGAACCCAGTAAAACAGGTCCTTGAACTCAGAGTTTTCATTTTACTCAAATTTTCCAATGCAAAATTAAATCATAATGATATTAAAAACGTAATAAAAATGAATCTGCATCAAATGTGTACAACTGCTTCGGGGACCTTGATGGCATGAAAGGAAAAACAATTAATACCTTTTAAAATCACCCTTCAAAATTCTAATAAATGCTTGCTTAAATGCAACATTTGCAAATGCATAACAAAAAGGGTTTATGGGGGAGTTCATGTAACACATAAAGTATGCAAAATTATAGAGGTTGACATCGACACAGGAGTATGACTCATTAGGTCTGTCACAAACTCCCTTGATAAGAACAACAACATGATATGGTATCCAACAAACAACATAGGCTCCGAGAATAAAACTTATCATTTTGAGAGATTTTCGTGCCCGTTTTCTTTTTACGTTTTCCAGTTTTTGTTTTTCTTCATCCCTAGTTGACTGCAGACGAAATAAACTTTCGCGCAGGGTCATCGGCACCTTAGCTCCTGCAGACCGTTTAAAAGTGGTAACTTCTGACTTTGAACCGGAGGAATCCTGAGATTTTGGCTCAGCGACCCTCGACAAACGTTTACCGGCGGCAGAATTTTCCAGGCCGCATACTGTTTCAGTTGATCGATCTTTCGATAGGGCCGCCGACCAGTGAAACTGGTTTACTTGTTTGGTAAATATTCTGGCAGCCAAAGTTTGGACATTAATAACCGTACGCCATGATTTCGAGGAGGCTTTTGTTGACGTCGTTTCCTGGTTTGGTTTTGGATAAGGAGCATCCTCTTCCTTTTTTGGAGAACGTGCATTCTATAATAAAAACATGCCGTTAGCGTAAAGTGCCATAATTTATCGTATCCTGATGTCACTAGAATGCACTTTAAAACACTGAACGAGAAAAAGAGCATGGAGGATTGCGATCTAGTAACAGATGCGTAACGATGTATTATGACAAAGCTGAATATAAAGCACTATGCAATGTAAAAAAATGAAGCTGACTCTAAAGGAGATAACCTTTTACTGTTTACATTAAAATTGCTGAAATCTGCATACTTTAATTACTGTTTGATGTAGGTTAATTTTTGCGCTGAAATTCTGTTGGTGTTACAAAGAACTGCCCAAGTATTGAGAAGACTCCTCGCACTACATGCGGCAGGGTGTGCGTGTGTCGAAGAACTGACTCCAAATTCGTGTGTTAATGTTTACGAACATTTAATTGTAAGTATTACTAATTGGAAACGAGAGGCAACGAGCTATTTTACAAACCTACCTACAAACGCAATAGCTAGATGGACACGTAACACGGGAACGGTGGCAACGAGGGTTCAACAGTTGCGAAGATGGAAAAGAGTGATAAGTCGTTGGCAGTGAAAAAAAATGTATATGCTCACCGTCCTCGTTCATGTGAGCTGACATTTCAACCCTAAATTAAACCCTAATAGACATCTACCTGCCCGGGCCTACCTGCTTATCAATCACAAGCCTGACCTTTACGCTACACCCAACCCTTACGCTAACCCCTTAAGGTTAGCAGGGTCGCTAAATAGTTCGCTGCCATATGTGGAAGCTAGTGAATCCCACACTTCAACCATGGGTTTCGACGACGTCTACCACGTGTTTTAGCAAACTGTATACCAGGGCGTTGACTTACACGTGAAGTAGATTTAAGGCACATTAAACTTGTGTTATATCTACCGCATACTATATCTCCCTCCAGCATTTTGTCCTACGAAACGGTGGTTATAAGGTTTTATAGATGGTAAATTAGGACAGACAAAGGAATATGTTTCAATAACTGCTTAAGCTCGTTGTTTTAGTAGTACACTGATAGACTTAGATTTATCGCAATATTGAAAGGGTTCCACAATGTCATGCTGCAAGCCTGAAGTCGCAACGTGTATATCATTTTGAGTTCAAATTACTCACGACATACTCAAAACTGTCTTCATGTTTTTCATTACTATTAAAAACTAGAAACCCAGAAGTATGCCTGAGAAGGGTTAAAGGATACAAGTAAAAACATCGGGGAGCAAATATATTAAACCCTCACACAACTTCTATCGCATTTTCCGATCTTGCTGACAACTTTTCAGTAGCTGAGCCACTGACTCAGCAGTAGGGGCAAGTCTCTTAACGTACTTCCGGCTTCCGCGAAAAAGACTGACTAAATTTTAGCCTCATGGCATATTTTGCAGAGCAATTCACTTATTAAGTATCGACGTAATGTAAAGTTTGTTTCTTTCTTGATCCTGCATCTTTAGGATAGCAAATGCTATTGAATCAGACAATCTAAACATCTGCAAGTGTATGAGGTATGCGGGTTTGATTCCCGAGTAAAGAAAGCTAAATGACATTGATACATTTAACTGGACATGTAAATCCTTCCATATTTACTAAAATATTTTTCCAAAACAATGTTTGGACTGCTGATGGTTGTTTTTGTTTTCAGGCGTCAAGCTATATCATCATCTTTGCTGTAAATATTTCTGTGACTGATCTGTAAGCCATACCTAAACCCCAGAGATTCGAAAACATTCAAAACCGCATGCTTGGCTATTCCATGCTCGCTAAACACGTGAAACTGTTTACTGTGCAATCTTAATATCTATAACTGGGGCAGTTTTCGATTTCTGCAACATTTTGCACAGTTGTAGTCAACAGAGTACGCCCAGCGTATCCCATGAAATGGTAATCGAAAGTACAAAAACTTCCTTTCAGTTAAATGGATAAATTATGGGAATTGTAAGACTAGTTATCATACACCATGCTTTGAAGATAATTAATTCAAATAAGACTGTCAACCTTTGAAAAAGCTTTTCTCTGTCAGTTCAAAAATAATATGATATAAAATTAACAATATATTTTAACATAAAAAGATCGGCAAAAAGCTTTTTTTCTAATATATATTTAGTAGAAAACAACGTTGTCTTTACTTTCTTGCTTAAAGTAATTTTACAGTTTGATTTAGAAACGTCTGCGCAACGGATAATTTAAGACCGTAAACTGCTTATTCATACAGTATGCTACATCGTTTATAAAGTTAGAAGTGGTCCATCTCCCTTGCGAATTTTGTTCCCTATAGGAGTTGTTCTTAGTAAGTTAAATAAAGTGGCCATTAATTGGAAGGCATAGTATATCATTTGTGGTTCGGAAACCGTAAGCAGAAGGGTGACTATAGTTCGGATTAAATATTATCCTTTAACCATAGTATTTCCACATGTGTATAAGTTAAATACAGTGTACTCTACTTCTAATGGATTACAAGAAAAGTTGTTCACTTATGCTTCTAAGAAACTATACTTGCATCTATTGAACGCAACCAGATAAACATTCTACTTATATTTTCATTTTGCGAAGCGTGGATTCGCAAACCACCGGAAAGAAGCGTAATCAAACATCTAAATCCTTGTGTGACTAAAGAACATAGCAGTTTTGCTGCGAAATAATCGGATGTACAGCCCAACCTAGGCAACCTCTTCTGATAGAAACCTCATTTAGAAATGTTGCTCAACATTTCATGGGATAAACCAAATAGCATTGTATGTAGCATATTTTTAGTAATAGACAATTAGTCACCAGGTTACGCGGTTTCAATGCCCTTATTTATAACGTTCGACCGAGCATTAACATTTGTAAAGTATGTTATTTAACAGTTAATTTGACAGATTTTCTAATGTAATATACTTACGGCGACTGAGTTTGAAACTTCAGGTTTCTGCTGCACCCAGGGTCCTTGACTCTCAGAATATAGGGAGGAGGATCCACTGGACGCTCCTGCCGCTGGTGATTGTATACTCGTGTAGGTTGCCGAAAATTCCAAATTTTCTAACATGCAGCTTGAGTTGCTCCTGCAATTCGGAAGAACTACTTGGTCGAAATGGTGATTGCAGACTTTTTCAATAAATTTTCAAAAACATCGTCACGTGCCGTTTTATAAATTTGAACAATTTGCACTTTGTAAAAACCCCAGAGAACATTTACACCGGCAAATTATGCTTGGTGAAGTTCATTTTGTGCTCACAGACGATCGGAGCGCTTAAAATTAATCCGTAGAAGGAAAAAAAACCCACTATGGCTTTTTAAAGAACGTAGCTAATAAAGTTTGCAAGAGGATATCAACGGGTTTGTAGTGACCGCATTCCGCGCGGACGGTCATGTGATTGCAGTTCTCAGCTTGCCTCGGGGACAACTGCAAACTCCTCGCGAACGCTTGCCTCGAGCGGCGGCCACTAAAAGGCGCGCACTCATATGCTGGACCAAATCCGTCTGACCAGCCACCTCTCAAGGCTGCCCCACATAGCCGCTTTTGGACACTGAGACGACTGCAGCCCTGCTAGAGAGCGGATGCATGCTCGTCTGATATTCAACTTCCATCTTTCTATTCTCCACTTCTTGTGTATAGATTAACTTATTCCTTCCCCTCTGGCCTCCCACTTATTCTCCTTCCCACAAGAAACCAGGCCTGAAGGTCGCACCGGCAAACATCCTCCTCATTAACTTGACCCTCCTGTGATAGGTTTTTATGAAGATATGCGTTTATTAACTTATAAATCAATCGAAAATTAAATATAAACTTCCGATTCAAGGTTTAAGTAAGACAGATTTTGCAACATTTATAAATTTAGAATTAACTGACTATTATGCATGTGATAACAAGGACCAGCATTACTTTGAGTTAGTTGTTGTCCGCGTTTTAAATAGAATAATATAATCCTTAAACATACACTGGATTTCTTTTAGTCTGTCTCTGAAACTCGTCATTTGAATCCTTCATTGATCACGGTGCAAACAAACGCATATTACTTAGTTGATTAATTACTACCTGTCGGTTAAAGGTCAAATTAATGTCTATTCATCAAGTAAACAGGCTGACCTGATCATGCTTATGTTAAATAGACCCTAGAAGCGAATTTCATTGTATAATTTTGCGTGACTTCCCGGCTCAGTATGCCCCTTTATAAGTTTCAGACATTGATGGAATTGTTTTCTGTCAAAGCCTAGCCAAATAATCAACGTGAATAACAAATTTAAAACTTCAATAATCGGTGGACTTTCGGTAAAGAATAAGTCGAAGCAAAAATCGGGATTTCAGCTGGATTGCGAACCTTTTCTGCTTGATCTATATACGGTGGCGTGTTCATTATTAGCTAGATAGAGGCGATTGAGTTTAAAGAAAATGACAATGTGCAAACACCGAACACGATCTGGAAAGCTTGTATCAGCAGAAAGGAAGAGAAGTCAACTGTTATTCAGAGAAACTACAAAAATATAAATCTACGAATACAAACTATAAATTATCTGCCTGACTGACTTCTGCCTTTCTTCGCTAAATTGAATGGATTAGGCTACGTACACGCAGTTTTTTGCAATCCGAATCTGGTGGTCCACGACTAATTTGTGAGATACAAACGTCTGAAAGGGGAATATAAGCATAATTTTAATAACAGCCATAAATAGGCCATTGAACTTATTTAGCTTCCGAAATGGAGCACTGTTGACAGTTAATTGTTCTAAAATGCGTATTACGGTAGGGCGCATACTCCTGTATTATGGATGAAGTTACATTAGATTTCATGGAGGTTTTGCGTCAGGAGTTAGGAGAGTTAGGTGCAAGAGTTGAAGCATGGATAGATTCGGGTTGACGGTGAGGGGTTAGTGGTAGAGCTAAGGCTACGTTTAGGAGAGATGACATTAGGGTAATGGTAAGGATGAAGTTTGATATCAAGGCTCTTGTTAAATTCAGGATAACTATGATCGGGAATTGAACAAAAGGTCACCTGTAATAGGGTGGGTAACCATACACATTTCAAACCA